TATAAATAATGAACTAATAAAGCTTCATGAAGGATTTACTGCAGGAGTGTCGCATTAGACTGCGTAAGTTGGAGCTAATATAAAAGGGTCTAAAGGGATTGATGTGATGCTACAGCCATAACTGTGTACTATAAAGTAGTCATAGCACCTCTGCATTGGTTGTGTTTTCTCTTATTCTTTTAGGGAGTTAACTCGGGGCACTTTAGTCCAAACTCATGCAGTTTGGGTGAACTGAAAACTCCAAATTCCTCCCAGGAGTAATAAATAATTCTAAATGTGTCGCTCTGTCTTTATTTCAGCTCTGTGAATTACTGGCATCCTGTCCAGACTGTCCCCTGCCTCTCACTCTCTCCCCCCCCCCTCCCAAGTGAATGCTGGGATGTGCTCCAGCCCCCTGTGACCCTGAGCAGGTTTCAGCCGATCTAGAAGACGGATGGATGTCTTGGCTGCAGGTAGGAGTCATTTTTTTTGAGGAGCTCAATGAGCCATTTGTCAACAGGGTCAGTCGTGACTTTGACCTGTGGTTGTCAGCACAATTTGGCTTCTGTTATGCAGAGCAGGTTGTTTCAATCTGGAAGTGTCTGCTGTCATATAAAATGTGGGCCGTGAGGAGCATAATTCAATGAGACGTTTGTAAATGTAGATGCCGGTGTGATAACCACGATGGAAAAAGCCAAATAAAGGCCTGTTACTTTTAATCTCCAGTTTGAAGAGCTCCGATTACCTCTGAGACATTTGAGCTCGGGAGATTTACTGTCTTTTAGTGGTTGAGCCTTTAGTCAGATTTTGGTCATTACAGCTGTGAGTGTGTGAACTGTGTGGTACATGACATACAGGTGCACGCACTTCTGCAAAACTGAAAATAATGCAGTGAAGGTGGTTTTTACATTTCAGTATTTTAGAGCTTTTTACTCTTCATTTATAAACATCATCGTGAATTAAAAGCTTCCCTAGGATCTCAACCCTGTAGACACCAGATCACTGCACAGACGCTGCACATTATGGATGAAATAGTCCCATATTTTGATATCATTGTTACTCTACCTCCATTAAAAACCCACTGTTAAACAAATGTTCCCTAATTGTACTCCAGGAAGGCACTTCTTGGATGCTTTGGCCCAGCCAGGATAGTAAAAGCTAAATGATCCCGCCAGGACGATCCCACCATAAAACCAACAGTATGTTCCATGATGCTCGGCCAGGTTAGGCTCCTCTTGAGCCTCTGAGCACACAATCCCACAACACAATTATTTAAAAATCCTGCAAACCAGCCAGTGTCTTTATAAACAGAAAATGACTCTCCTACAGGTTTGTAAAAAAATCTGTTAATTTAAATAAAACGTTTAACATTCAAGATATCAGACTGACTTTGTTGAGATGCTGCGATGCTATTTCACATATACAGTGAGTAAAAAATGTTCACTACTTCAAATATTCAAAAGTCAAACCAGCAGCTGTACACACTTCATGAGTCGCCATGACAGACAGAATGATTATCGTTGCCGTGGAAACACCGGAGGCTACGTAAAAGACCCCTACATAAGAAAGCTATACTGAATGTGCTTCTTTGATAAAAAAAACTTTAATGTGAATTATACTTGGACACATCGTCGGTAAACATATTCTCTTCCTCAGGTCTGTTTCACCCGTTCTTCTTTATTACATTAGGCGGAGTAGTATTGATTGAGAGCCCCCTGGTGGCGGAATCTACATATTGTATCTTTAATAACAACATCTTTGAATTCATGTATTCAAGTCATTGCCTTGTGTGTTTTAAATTTTGCTACACATCTAATTCATTCCTTGTCCCTTCTGGGCACACATTGTAGTTTATCCTTTGTACCTTTAATGACCTCTGTTGTTGTGGTATATTTGATGGTTTAAATTGTGGAATGTGACTGTTCAGCATTGCCATTTTGTCCTGGAGATAATTAATTTGAAATGACTTCTTGGTGAAATAGATTGATAATAACATTACATTGGGGCAGTGGCTATGTCTCTGAGACTGCGTGTTAAGTTCGGATAAAAACTGCTGAAGCAACGTCCTAATCTGACATCAATCTATGCACACTCTTAATGTAGATACTGCAAAATCTATCTACCTCATGTGAATTAACCCATCTGTTACACAATTAAGTATTAAGTCTTTGCTTCTTTTGTATTTATTGTTGATATTTAATGTCATACTTTTTGTTCATGGAGAGCACAGTTCACCAAAGTCCAATTCCTTGTGTGTGTAAGCACCTGGTCAATAAAGCTGATTTGGACTCTGATAAAAGTATTTTTGTTTCTGACAAGTTGTCCACTTTTCCCGGTAAAAAAATCCAGCTCTGGTTCTGTGCTGTGTACAAATTTAAAAACCTGACTCACTATGGTTCACCTAGGTTTTTTTTTCTGTTTACTGGAGTGTAGCACTGTAAATACAAACATTTGTCAATGAGCGGTTCATCTCCAGTTTAGCATAAAAATCTGGATACTCAGAACCTCTATAAGCTTCCACTTTTATTACAAGCCAATCTGTTAGTTTGAATAAATGTATTGATTAATAAATATGTCAGATCTCAGATCTCAGAAATATTGACACTACACATTACTCGCTCCTGTAACCTAAATCTATAATAGTTCACTTCGTGTGACCAACAGGCAAAAAATAACGTCAAGTCTTTTTGTAAAGATTGTTCAAAATAAGAGAAAGCATCAAATCACCACAATAGAGAAGCTACAAGCTGTCAATATGAAGTGTCTTTAACGGATAAATGTCTCTGATTGTTCAGCAGAACTGCAGATTAACTTTCTGTTGATCAGCTCGACTCACATGTGCTCCGTTCTTCATCATTACATAACCCAGTCTAACATTACAAACCACACGCTCACTTTCTTCCCACCTCTCCTCTTTGTCCTTTGACAAGCATGGAATATACTTTTAGAAAAAAAACAAAACATAAATAACCCTCCATTTGTCACATCACATGGCCCGGCCATATGGTCTAAATCTGCACTACAAAGACACGCCGTGCACGTGACGACAGGACGCTCCCAACAGTCAAACCATTCAGCTCGGTCCTGCAGTGGCTCAGGATGATTTCACCCTCAGCTAAGCAGCTACAGGCCTAAGAATATGCCTGACCCACACACTTTGCTTCGAAAAACGTTTTGGATTGCACCTCTTGCAATAAGCCACATTATGTAAGTGCTAAGTGTGAGGTATCAAGAGGAGCTGGCTCGGGGCCATGACGCTGCTGTGTGTGTGTTTGGTGGTGGGTGCAGGTGTTGAAAATATCTTGCATGAATAGTTCTTGTGAGGATACAAACACACAGAGAAGGAGATGATTATGCTCTGATGCAGTGACGACGTGCTGAGGAATGCTGAAGAGCACTGATGAGTGAGTGACGGTGTGTGTGTATCCACTGTATGAATGCAAATGTCTAAATGATCGAGACAAATACAGAGGCCTCCAAACACTGCAGAATACCTCAAAACTACATCTTGCTGTTTCAATTTTTCAAAAGAAGGAGAAGAAAAATATTTTGCACGTGGAGATGGAGAGAAACGTGTCCATCAAAAAAACTGAAGGCAACAACTTTGATGTTTTCATCTTAACTCTTCCAGAATTAGACTCAGGTTCAAGGACACAGAGTTCAAAATGACCCAAACATCAAATGAACAATATATTATTTCTACTGCCAGAAGTCTCTTGATCAAGAAATGACAAAGACGTGCAGTTTAATGATGTCAAGACGTATCATATGTAGAGTTGTTGTCGTCATTGTTACACATTTGAGGGTAGGTATCACATAGAGGTAGGGGAATTGATAAAACCGCCTCAACCTCAGAACCTTCATGCCACTAAAGACTTCACTTATCATATTTCAGCAGCAGTAAGGATTTCATCAGGTGAATAAAGCTCAACAGTTGTGGATAAATATCTTTCTGACATGACTCATGCACGTTGGACATTTTGAAGGTTTAGCAGCAATAAGACGTCTCTGACTTCACTAAAGAGTCTATAATCTCTGTTTGTGCACTGGAGGCTTCACATCTCCACACGTGTAAGGTTCATGTTGGACTAATATTCACCCGCTAACAAGTTAAGATGACACTGAGATGAACATGCTGCTCTTTACTGCACATGTTTAACTGAGATTTGAGGTGAAGACAAACTTTCCCCCCTTCAGCATCCAAGATGTCAAACTCTGCACACATCATTCCTCAAAGTTAAGCTCAAATATCCAGCTGTAGGAACAACATCGGAAGTAGCTTCATGAATGAGCTGCTTTGTAGCTTAATTAAAAGATCATAGCATCATTTGAAGTCAACATAGTCATAGTTTAGATAAATAAAGTAAACTATATCCTGTAGCTTACAGTGTCCTCATACTACACCTGCTGCTGAGGTTGAGACTCAATAAGACAAATCATCATGTGAAGTGAATGCAGTTGAGACTGTAGGAAAGCAATGAGGAAACAGTACATGAACTGTAAAGTTATTAAGAATCTACTACTTCAAAAATATATCACAAGGCTGCTGCACTCAAACATTTCAGGTACTCCATTGTAAAGCTTTGTGCGAATTCTACCACTCAATTAGTTAATTACAGATATTATTTTTGAGAATGTATTTGTCGATTTTGTTTTATTTTTTAATGTATTGCTGACTGTGCCAATCAGGTTGAGCAGGCGAAACATTAACTAAGGACATGCCAACTGAAATTTGCACAATACTGTATCTGGCCAGCGTCCATCCACAGTATTTAATGCACTATTACGCACAGGTCATCATGCGTCATTGTGTTGTTTAGGGGACAGCCAATCATATACTGAGATGTTATTTAACAGGTTTTATGTATAAATTTTAAACTAGTGAGTGTTTTTTTTTTGTGTGTGTGTGTATCATGACTCAGAAATTCTTCCATATTTTTAGGAGCTTTATTTTCTCAGTCTGTGACACTGCGAGTTGTTTTCATCATCACTGCATAAGAATCACTGTCATACACACTCAAACTGCAGGCTACATACCTTGGAAGACATCCACATCCCGATCATCCTCTGAGCTCGCAGATAATCATAGTCCTCTTGAGGGAAAAAAGAATATTTGTGCACGAAGTCCAGCGGACAGAAGAGGAAGTTGCTCAATAACTCCCCTCTGAGGAGTTTCCTAAACAGAGTCGTTTTTGCTATAGCTTTCCATCCACGTCCGTGTAAAGGGATATTGTCTCTTTGAGGTTTTTTTTTTTTTAATTAAGCTGGGGAAACTTTTGTCGCCAAGACCCCCCCTAGCCTGTCCATAGGAAACCTGGCGAGGCGAGTCATTTCTCCAGCCGTATTGAACTGAATGATTCCTGTGCTTAGCTCTCATGGTGGCTCGACAACACAAGGCTTTTCTTGGCCTGCTGTGGAAAAGCATGTTTGTGTGGATGTCATAGAAATAAGTCTAGCCCTACTTTATTTGATGACTTCTAAATGCTATTTTTTGTTTATATCACATTAAGAGTTGGAGGAGTAACAAAAGCTTTATTTATCTGTCTTTGACTTTTTCCTTTACTGGAGTCCAATTTTTATTGGCAACATGAAAGAGGTTGTTCAAAACCTTAGTTTGCTCTCTGTGAGGAAGTAACTCAAACATTCTTCAGCTAAGGTCAGAAGAGGACTCAATTATTGCCATTTGCATGGCCTACAGTTTCTGTCTCTAAAATAAAAATCAGCCTAAACCAGCGTAGATTCTACATTAGTGCAAACAAAATAACTTTATTGCATATCAGCAAAACGATCATTCCTACCCTTTCTGTTACTGACAGATGAAACCCATAAAGTGCAAATGCATAGCCTGTCTCAATTTCGATTTGATGTCAGATTTGGAAGCCCGAAAAGGTTACATGACTTAACTTATCAACCCATTTGGCGAATATTTGTCTTAATTGCTCATCAGCGTGGAGAGGATTTGAGAGAAACTTTTGCTCTGAGATGTAGAGAATGAAATATCCTAAACCTGTCAATTAGTGATTTATGAGTGTGTGTGTGTGTGTGTGTGTGTGTGTGTGTGTGTGTGTGTGTGTGTGTGTGTGTGTGTGTGTGTGTGTGTGTTTATGTGTGCGTAAAACTTGTGTTAGGGGGACCACCTGCTCGTACAGTCTCTTTATAGGGCATATTTCACTTAAAAAGATACTCTATTTGTTGTCACACGTCAGTCTGAATGGATTTAGAGTTAGTACTGTTTCTCCGGCCTATGTCTGTGCCATTTCCTTTACTCGGGCTTTTGTCCAGCCCGCACAACGACTCCGTCACCCCCTCCTCCATCTCCATATACTCCGCTTTATCACCCAGCGAGGAGCCAGAGGGCGAACCTTTGAATTTCCTTAAAAAGTCCGGGAAGTAGGGGCAGCCCGGGGGCATGCTCTCCACCACCGGCGCCTGGTCCTCATTATTATCCGTCTCCCTGTGGTAAAAGTAGTTAAAGTTGGACACTATGACCGGCACCGGCAGAGCGATGGTTAACACGCCCGCTATTGCGCACAGGGAGCCCACTATCTTCCCCCCGACCGTGATGGGCTTCATGTCACCGTAACCCACCGTGGTCATGGTCACCACAGCCCACCAGAACGCGTCCGGGATGCTCGTGAACTGAGACGTGGGCTCGTCCGCCTCTGCGAAGTAGACCGCGCTGGAGAAGAGGATGACTCCGATGACGAGGAAGAAAATGAGGAGGGCCAGCTCCCTCATGCTGGCGCGCAGGGTATGACCCAGGATCTGCAGCCCCTTGGAGTGCCTGGAAAGTTTGAAGATGCGAAACACCCTGACGAGGCGGATTATTCTCAGGATGGCAAAACTCATCGCCTGCTGCCCGTTTTCTTGGTGCTGCGCCAGGTCCGTGCCGAGAGTTATGAAGTAAGGCAAAATGGATACAATGTCTATAGTGTTCATAATGTTTTTAAAGAAAGCAGGCTTGCTCGGGCTCGCAAAGAAGCGGACTATAATCTCAAAGGAGAACCAGATGATGCAAACTGTTTCCACTATGAAAAACGGGTCGTTGAAAGGAGTAAATCCGTGATCAGGCTGAGTGGAGTTGACTCGTGGCTGTAGATACTCTTTTTCATCCCTGAACTCCGGCAGCGTCTCCAGGCAGAAAATGACAATAGAAATGACTATAACCAGCACAGACACCACCGCAATCCCCCGGGCAGGGCTGGAACTCTCCGGATACTCGAACAGCAGCCAAATTTGGCGCTTGAACTCGTCCTCCGGTAGAGGCTTTTCCTCCTCTTTCACAAAACCCTCATCCTCCCGGAACTTTAATATCGCCTCCTCCCCGAGTTCATAAAACTTCACCTCCTCGGAGAAGATGTCAAACGGGACGTTGGCGGGTCTTTTTAATCGCCCCCCTGACTGGTAATAATAAAGAATGGCGTCAAAACTCGGTCTGTTCCGGTCGAAGAAGTATTCGTTCCTCAGCGGGTCAAAGTACCTGATTCTCTTGTCGGGGTCTCCCAGGAGCGTGTCCGGGAACTGAGTGAGAGTTTTGAGCCTGGTTTCAAACTTCAGCCCGGACACGTTGATGACAACTCTCTCACAGCAGCCGCTCTCGCTGTAAACGTTTTCGTATCCGGACTGAGGGCGCCTGTCAGTGAGCGACACCGTCTCATCATCCATGTTACACAGAAAACTCGACCTCTTACTTTCCCGGCCCCCCTCCTCCTCCTCCTCCTCCTCCTCCTCCTCCTCCTCTTCCTCGGCTCCCTCGGCCTCTTCTTCCTCTATCATCATGTCCTCCTCGGATCCGAGCAGCGCCAGCTCCGACTGGCGCAGGTCCCTTCCGAGAGTCTGCGTCCGGCTGCGTCTCCAGCGTCCGACGCCGCGCTGCTTTTTACGCTCTCTGAGAACTCTCTGTTGCTGCTCGGGCTCCTGCTGGTGCTGCGAGGAGGAGGAGGAGGAGGAGGAGGAGGAGGAGGGGCGCGAGGCGGTACCGCTGCTGCTGCTGATGTTGGCGTTCGTGGAGGAGGAGGCGGCGCGAGACTGATGCTGGCGGTTGTTAAGGAGATGAGCGCTCGAGGAGGAGGAGGAGGAGGAGGAGGAGGAGGAGGACCCCCCAACGCCGCCGCCACTTCCACCTCCGCTGCCACCACCACCTCCTCCTCCTTCCTCCTCACCTCCTCCTCCTCCTTCGGTTGCGGCCGCAGCAACCGCCGCTTTCGACTGGGCTACCTGGCGCTCCCTCTCGCGCTCCCTCTCCCGCGCGCGAGCTTGGGCATACCCGTAAGGCAGGTGGCTATTGCACCCGTCAGCGCCCACCATGGCAAACTCCATCTTTAAAGTCAATGAGCGGCTCGATCTGTGAGCGCTACAGTGACCGCCTCAGGGCGAAGTGGAAGCAGGCCAGAGGAGAAAAGTTGCAGCTCAAAAAAGCGCGTAGAGAGAGAAAATGAGGCATCTACCGGTTCCACCAATCAGTAGCGAATATGAGACTGTCACGAAAACAAACACACCTCGTTCAGGTCCACGAGTGCAGCCCATGTGGCTACTTACATGGTAGGAGATATGTTCCCTTTTTAGGCACAGGCCCTGGAATTTTTTTTATGACATCATTACCATAACCAAAAATCCGTGTGGCCCGGTGGCATAGCCTGTTACGCAGACGCTCTGTGGCAAAACTTGCAGCGCCCGTTTTATTTGCTCAGCATCATAAATCACCGAGTCAACAAGCGACACCAAAACAGTCTCTCCTCCTCGCTTCCTCCGGTGCCCATCAGGTGGTTAAACCCTCCACGAGCGCGGCTTGCGCCCAAATGCGTTTTTTGATCCTCTGTGGTCACTCCTGGTTGCCATTTTATGCGATGAGATAAGAAGAAAAAAAAAACAACTGGATCTTTTCTCTGTTGAATTATAGAGCTCCGTTGAATCTGATCGACTTTATTATTCCTTTGACGCTCCGGGGAGCTGCGAGGAGAAGAGAGGAGAAAACAGCAGTAGGTTTTAGCCAAAAGAGAAATCAAAGAAATACAGTGATGTGTTCACATTGTCCGTTGTCTTGGCGACTGCATAGTGAGGATACTACTCGTTGTTTTGCATTATGAGGGCGGTAAAACTTAATTCTGCACAGTGTTATCATTATTAGTATCGTTGCTGTTGTTGTTATTATTATTGTTAGAGTGTGTACATGCTGATTACGGAAATGATTGCATGGAAGGCATCTCTGTTTAGAAAAGCGATTACGCACTAGATTTTGCACATGAGAACAGCCTCTCTGTATATTAATATGTATACTTACATGTCTGAAGGGGCCAAACGAGATCGCCTCAGCCCCCCCCTACAAACAAATTTGCTGGAGGTGGAGGATGAGGATGAGGAGGAGGAGGTAGGCTAGGTGAGGATGCAGTTCTTCGCTGTTGCCCAAATTCCCGTCTTTGATTTTGGAAGGGAATATCACAAATCCCCACAGTGGTATCCAAGCAGCGAGTATATCATCCACAACATGCATCCGTGCTCTGACGCACTCTGAGGAGGACACTTTTTTTTTTTTTTTTGGCTGCGTCTCGACGTCTTGTGTCTCAATTCAACAGGATCTATCGCCACTTCAGCCCCCGTTTCTGCTGCATCGCTCCTGTAACACTGGCAGCAATAATCATTAAGGAGGGAGAAAAGGGAGCAGGTGTGGAGTTGGAATCGATGGCAGCTCCGCGCGATCGTGAATATGAAAAAAAAAGAAAAAAAAGAAAAAAAGATGCGAGGGTGGGTAAAAGTTTACCGTCACGCAGTCGAGAGGAAAAGGCCCCCTGGTTGAGTCTGTGCATCACACATCTGTCTGCCTGCCGCTGTAGCCCTACCTATTCTCCGGTATCCTTTCCATTGTGTGTGTGTGTGTGTGTGTGTGTGTGTGTGTGTGTGTGTGTGTGTGTGTGTGTGTGTGTGTGTGCGCGCGCGTGTTACTGTGTGTGTGTGTGTGTGTGTGTGTGTGTGTGTGTGTGTGTGTGTGTGTGTGATAATGGAGAGGCTCGGTGAGAAAGTCGTTCCTGTACTGCAGCGCGTGCAAGCGGTGCTCGGTCCTCCCCCAGTGGCCGCAGACGGTCACTGCGCACCGTGCTGCAGTCTCACATCCGAGTCTCCTCTGCCCTTCATCAGCACTCCTGGGGGGGGGCAACCAACCTAGGGGGGGGAGTCATTTTCCCCTCAAAAAAGTAACGCACTACTCTCCATTCATAATACAGTGACGTTGCTAGTTGTCATTCTTTGGGAGTAGAGTGTGAAAACATTGCTTTACTTTACATTTTCAGTGTAATTAAAACAATTCTGTTCTGTTTTACCCTGAGAAATTATCTTACAGAGTTTAGTTTTAGTCTTAGTTTAGCTCAGTAGTCATTATTGAAATCTTTCTCTTTCTGTATTTTTTCTTTGTACAAAGTACCCCACTTGCCCAGGAAATACATTCATAGATTTTTGGAGTTTATCTTTGAAATATGTGAATTTAAAGCATTCGAGGAACTTAATTTGCATTTTTTCGCACATTTTTTTGCAACTTGCAAATAGCAGGACTGTCCATTTATTTAAGTTTGTAGATTTATGTTTACCAAACGTTACATGAGTTGTATTTATCTGCCTATTGCTTGTGAGGGAACAGGAAAGAAAGAAGTCCTCTCCCTTTAATATTTGAGCAACAAAGAGACGACACATACCGTTTTAGAAGGGTAGATATTTATTTGCTCAATATCTTTTTCCAAAGTAACAGAACAGTTCAGTCATCAGAAATCACAGAATCCCAGAGACTTTGGTGACTCAGCGGATGTGAAATCAGCAGCTTCTTGCACAAGTATTGAGCTCTAAATTTACATTTACTTCACAATCAAACTTCCTCACTGCTTTCATATGAAAGATGTAAACATTCCAGCACAAACATCACTTGAGTCATGGATGAAAGCAAATCAATGTGTAAGTCTTTCAGGTATACAAACTATGGCACTAGAAACTAACAGAGCATTAAAGAACAACATTAGAACAAGCATTAAAGGCTTTTTGGAAAAGTTTTTTTTTTCTTTTGCTAGAGGCATAGAAACACTCCTCTGTTTTGTTGCAGAGAAACATTAATACAATAAAGCAAAGGAAATCCAATTATTCTGATGTTTTTCTGTTGAAGGCACAAACTTTGATCCTACTCAGGAGAAGAGAAGGTTTCAGAGACACAGACACCTCCTGACCTGATTTAGAGATCTGACTTGACAAACTACGACATGCACAACGTTATCTTTTTTTTGAACTAAAGTGCTAAATATTGAATCTGTTCTTAACTAAACAAATACCAAATGTTCTGAGGTGTGATTCACGGAGGCAGCAAAGACTTGTAAGACACATAAGGGACTCAATAAGGGAATCTTCAATTCAACTGAACTCTTTTTTTCTCTTTCCTCTCACCCTCATTGAACTTCATCTGACCTGTCATCTCTTTGAGAGTGACAAACATCTATCCACACATCAAACTAAATTCACAGTTCTTAGTCCCATTGAACCTTTATTTTACAGTTTGTCTTGTATTCAGAGGAAGTTTCAAAGGTTTGCAGGTTTTAATATTTAAGCCAATCTTTATTCAGGACAAACTTTTAAATGAAAGTGTAAAATATTCATAAATCTTTTCTCAAAAGACAACAACAAGCCTTTAAGTGGCCGCACACTTGAGCATCCCCCTGCTCAAGTGTCCCTGCCATTATCTGCTCTCTAATAAATCTCCAACAGCAGAAATGTTTTTTTGTTTTTACTCCAAGAAGTTGTAGCCAATATGATGAAAAAAGCATTCAGCATGGTTAAGTTACAGCCTTCAATAGTTTCGCAGAAAACCTAATCATATGATCTGTGTATGGTAAACCAATTAGCAAAATGGTTCAATAAAGGCAATTGTCTCATCAAAAACTCAAATTTACTTGTAAAAGAAATTACTCACAGTTCTTTATCTTTTACTAATTTACTCACGTATTATTGTACTTATTTAAGATGTTAAGAGTCAGACAGAAAACAAGCGTCAATATGGAGGCTCCAAGTTACACAACAAGCTGTCGAGCAAAAACCTGTGCTCAGGTATAAATAAGTCAACGGTGCATTAATACTGAAGAAGCGATGAATGCATGACTTTCTTTTAAACTACAATTAACTGTAGACCAGTTACATTATTGAGCATTTAAGTTTTTTTTCCTTGATTGTAGCCGCTTTACCTGCCATTTATACACATGCATATACAGTATAGGATGAAATGATGTTACTCTATAAAAGGAGGATTGTTGTTAACATTGTGAGTTGTAAACAAGCAGCAAAGTTAAAAATAAAGAATTTTCTTCAGGATTAAAAAAACTTCTAGGTGGGTGGGTGTGTGTTTAAGGCTGGGCGGATCTGGCTCATTTGTTAATCGGTTGACAGTCAGCCAGACTGTTGGGGGTTCGATTCCCAGCTCCTGCAGCAACATGTCCGATGTATCCTTGGGCAAGGCACTTAACCCCATTTCATCTGCAGTGTATGCATGATGTGTATGAATGGGATAAGTTTTGTCTGATGTTCACTTTACCTCTGCCATCAGTGTGTGAATGTGTAGGTGTGACATGCAGCGTTAAAGTGCTTTGAGTAGTCAGAAGACCAGAAAAGCTATATACAAGCTCAAGTCCATTTACCATTTACCATAGATAGATAAATAGATGTACTTCTTCCCAAACTGGGTAATTGTGTTGTTACAGCAGCTTAAAAAGCACCAGATAAAATCAGAATAAAAAGTCTTGCATTAGAGACACGCTAAGCAGACCTCTTATAGATCTGTCAGTTCAACGTGAAAGTTTCTAAAGTATATTATCATATGTTTCTATATTTGTAGCTTGTTTTTGTAATTTATCCAGGAAAGCAGCTATGTGTCCAGTTGGTCATTCCCTCAGAAGCAAACAGTGCACATATCCTTTAACAACTTCACAGACATTTCAGCACCTGGCGAGGTAACTGTTGAGTCACTGGTATCGATCGGCCTTCCAATTTGCCACCCCAGATTTATTTGGATCATTTTGCCGTTATGGGACGGTAAAAAGTCTTATTCATTGCACCTTTGAAACCTTCTGGATTTAATTTGATTGTGCAGATAATTGATTTTTCTTCAGGTACCACCTCTGGCTGGGTGCTGGGATACACAGCAATCAGCAGCTAAAGCCCATCCGGTCCAGACCATTTAATTCAAACTATCCGTTCGACTCACAAACTCTAATTAGGGCAAGAACGGCCTGTTATTCCAGACCTGAAACCTGATGCAATATTCCTCCAAGGGATCCCAATCCTTCCCTCAGGTGTTATTTTTAATCTCTAGTTGTAATTTTCCTGTAGGAGTTTTGCCTTTGCGGTCTCCTTCTCAAATATATTACACAATCACTGCTTTCATAAGAGGAAATGTGAAGCCAAATGTGAAATCCAACGCAGAGGCTTTTGAAATGATCAGTCCTGCTGACAGTGCAAATATCACTCACAGATTTCTTTGAAGAGCTCGTCTTCACACTCATCCCTTTCTGTCTCTGTGTGCAGCACATTCTCCCCTCAAACGTTTTTTTTTTTTATGTCCGCACAACATGTAGGCAACCAGCCACCCACCACACACACACACACATATACAATACAACACATAACAATCACACACACCTCC